TAGTCAGGCCTGTATTCATTTAAATCCCAGGAGATGCCAGAAGCCTAAGCTATACCGCCTCAGGGGTAGTATATTGGTACTGTGGTTTGAATGTGCCTCCCAAAGTTTATGTGTTGGGAATGTAATCATACAGTGAATGTATTACTGAATGTAATATATACAGTATTTATAAAACACATACAATATTTTTATTCTCATATAAATTACCCATTTTCAGATATTCTATTATAGTAGCAGAAAATGGACTAAGACAATGGCAAGGAGCATTCAGATTTAGCTCTCTGTACCTTGGTATCCTCATCTGCAAAACAAATACTATGTCAGGACCTGTTGAGTACAGTCAATTAAGTAATGCTTGGTAGAATCTGATTCTGCAGCAGACTTGATCATATATAGCACTTGGAGAGCCCATTAAAAATAATAGCAAGATTCTCCAGTTACTGTGAGATGGAGCTGGAATTTAAATTCAAGCTTTTTTTTTTGTACCAGGGATCAAACTCAGGAGCTTGCGCTTATGAGGCACATGTGGTGCCACTGAGCTAAATCCCCAGCCCAAGCATGCTTTAACTTTTTAGTTTGATGCACTTGCTATGTGCCTGACACAAATTTACTCATTTAACCTGAATGACCACCCTTTGAGGTAGGTACTGTCTTCGTTTTACAAATAAGGCAATTTGAAGATCAGAGAAATTAAATAACTTGCCTTAGGTCACACAATTTGACCCAAGCAGGCAGTCTGGCTCCAATAGGTTTTATAACTGTGGAGGGTCAAGGGAAGGAAGATTATCTCTAAGGAGTGGACTTCAGTGTTAACTGTTTTATGTTTCTTTTCTTTTCTTTTTTGTACTGGGGATTGAACCCGGGACCTTGCACTTGTGAGTCTCACCTGTTTTATACGTCTCAAGAGTGTGCCAGTCATGGCCTCTCAACATGTGAACACAACAAGATACCCAGAAAAAGATTCCTGCCTTAGAAAATAAAGCTTGAAGCCAGACTCAGTCATACCATTACTTTGACCCGATGGTGCCAATTGCTAGGTGGGAGCATAGATGAAAGCATTAAGACTTATGGCTGCTGAGCATATCACACTGTAACTATCAAATACACTCTCAGGGGTGAATAGGCTGGGTACTTTTCTGTCATAGTATGTTCTTCACAAAAATCCTTCCAGCTTACCCCTCAGGTAGGGAAACAGAGGCTTTGAGGTAGTGTTTGTCCCCTAAGAGACAAAGCCTGGGCTTTTTCCTGTCTGAACCGAAAATATAGTGGTGGTTTTTGTTTGTTTGTTTTGCCAAATATATACATATATTAAGGAGCAGGTTTTGGTATATAGTAGAATAAATTTTTCCAAGCTTTGTGAGAATAGAGTGGCTATTCTAATAGCTATGGAATTTGCCAGGCTGGATGTGTTGGACAGAAGTTTAACAAGTTCTTGTACATCTGTTGATGAGGGCTTCAGTTATCACCTGAGAAGGTGAACTCAACATTTGAAATTCTTTGTACATGAAAATCTGTTTCTGCATCTCATACTTTTGTCACTGTGAGAAAATATAACATTATATTATAGAGGCCTAGAAAAGGGAATGAAGAGTCTTCCACTGTGATACCTTCATTTGTAAGTGAATGCATAAGTCCAGAGAAATAAAATAGGTAGTAAAGCCAAACCTGGAACCCAGGCCTCCCAAATCCTAATCCAGTATGGTTTTCATTACAGGGGTCTGTTCCTAGCAAATGGTCTAGTGCTCAGCTAACATAGCTCTGGCCACCTTCCGTATCCTCACACAGACAGCTGTCATGTCCTTTAGATCCTGCTTCCCTAAATGTTTCTGGAAGCAATCCTCATTTATTCCATTTCCATCTGGATGCAGTCACCATCATTTCTCAGTTATTACATTAGCCTCCTGATGGTCTCCTTGTCTCAGTCTCGCTCACTTCAACACATCTGGCACACACCAGGTAAGGAAAGGATGAATGAGCCTGTGAATTCAGGGTAAACTTAATAGTACCATGGTATGCCAAAGAACAGCAAGCCCTGAGATACCAGGTTCTGAAAGGACTATATCTATTTGGCTTTCACATGGTGTCAGTGAAGAAACTTGTCTTGGGAACCACTCAGGCTAGAGGAAAGTGTGGGCAGATTGAGTTGTGCTACCTACAAATTAAATCAGGATTTTAATGATTAACACGTGGGACTAAGTATAGTGTCATGTTGAAAAAAGTACCTTCACTCGAGAATTTACATACTTCCATCATTGACCATGTGGACCAGATTTGGAAGTAAGGGTTGTCAGCAGGTTTTATACAAAGTTTAATAACCCCATCGGCAGACCCCACTGTTCTAAGACATCAGAACTTGGTTGTCTTTAACTTAGAGACAACTTACAGAAACAGTCATTACACCCGCACTTAACTGATTCAACACCCACTGGAGCTGTCTCACCTTATATTTGACCTCCTAAAGAGAGTGAGGAGAGGGAGAAAGGAGCAGGGAGTCTGCATCAATAGAGAAATAGTCTGCATATCGTCAAACATCCCTCCTAGCTAAATAGAGATGGCGTTATGAGCTGCAGGAACAGATCTAGAAAGATCCTGTCTTTTTTTTTTTTTTTGGTACTGGGGATCAAACTCAGGTCCTTGCACTTGCAAAGCAGGCACCGGAACCACTGAGCTAAATCCCCAGCCCTAGATCCTGTCTTTTGACAAATGTAGCAAGAGTTGCAGAAAGTCCCAAGTTATACACTGGGCGTCAGATCTGAGAAGTCTGCTCCTGGGGACATTTGTGTGGTGAAGTTGGAGAAATACCTCACTTTCCTTTCTGATTCTTTTTAGTTCATCTTTTCTTGGCAAGCTATATCTTAACTTGCTCTCCAAGTGGGTTGATTCCCAGTCAGAACCATTACTGAGCTAACCCGCCGGTGACAGTACCATGTAGAACAAAAGCCAGCTAGGGCCAGGGATTTAGCTCAGTGTCACCGTGCCTGCCTCATAAGTGCAAGATCCTGAGTTCAATCCCCAGTACCAAAAAAACCCCAGCTTGGGCCAGGGACTTAGCTCAGTGGCCCTGCTCCTGCCTTGCAAGCGCAAGGTCTTAAGTTCAATCCCTGATACAAAAAACAAAACAAAAAAACAGCCTTTTGGAGCTGTTGCTTCAACACTGGCTGAGGTAGAATGGTTTTATTTAATTATGGCTTGATAAAGAACATATTTAATAAACATCTAGTTAAAACAGCTGCCAAGTAAAGTTTTCTTCATTGAATTAGTGGGCACTTAATTAAGACCCAGCTTAAGTGTCATCTCCTTGGCAATGTCTTCACTAATTTTCTTTCCATCTTGATATGATAAATTAGTCTTTTTTGTGTACCATTACTGGACTTTGTAACTGTTATAATATTATCTTTATTATCATTATCTTTCTCTTTTTACATAACTTCTGAAGTCAGGTACTATAATGTATATTCCTCTACCTTACTCAGGGCCCTGTAACAACTGGTTATATGGAAATTTGTAATAGACTTTCAGTAAATGGGCTTGAAAAAGAATGCTGAATAAATGAGATAGTTTCTTTGAGTTCCAGAGTTCTATGAATCAGTGAGATAATAAGTTCCTATATTAACCATAAAATAAACTAGTTTGATTACACAGTAGTCCCATTACTGGAAAGATAATGATGACAGTGGTTTCAATTTATTGAGTCCTTAGTGCAGGCCAGGCAGTGAGCTAAGACTTTGTATGAATTACTTCATTTAATACCTACAGAGACTCCAGGTAGTAATATTTTCCCTATTTGACAGATGAGAACTGTGAAACTCAGAGACATAAAATAAACACCCAACCAGTGAGCAGCAGGAACTGCAGCTCGAAATCAAGGCTGTTTGGCACCAAAGCCCATGCTCAGAGGGTCTTATTTTTTTAGACGGTCTTGCTTTGTACTTCTGGCTGGCCTTTAAGTCACTATATAGCCCACGCTGGCCCTGAACTCATGATGGCACTCATTCCTTGAGTGCTGGGATTACAGGCATATGCCACTGTCATAGCTCTTTAAAGAGGAAAAAATTATGAAATAGGTGGTGCTGATAATTTATAGTTCTCTTAGTCTATTTTAGGGTTTCACAAAGGATACTTGGGTATTTAATAAAACAAAAACTGAACTAGTAGGGCCACTAGCCCAGCCCCAACAATTTGTAGCCAGAGAATCTGAGAGAACTGACTGGCTTAAGTCTCAGGGTTAGCTAGAAGATGATTTAGGCCACACTTCTGCTGTCAGTGCCACTTTATCCAGGGCTGTGTTCTGACCACATGTCTGAAATAGCCTTTATCACTGTTTTCTTATTCTACTTTATTTTTTTCATAACTGTTTCTACATAATGTATTTGTTTATTTTCTCCACGAGAATGTAAGCTATATGACGTCTTTTTTGCGGGGGTTGTTTTTCTGCAGCTTAGAGCAATGTCTGGCATATAAAGTGCTTAAGTAATATTAGTTGGAGGACTAGAGATTTAGCTCAGTGGGACCAACACCTGCCTGGCAAGTACAAGGTCCTGAGTTTGATCCCTGGTACTTAAAACAAAACAACTGACAGCGGCATTAAAAAAATTAGTTGGATTGATGGGTAAATATTCCAAGTATCAGCTGGTACATGATTTTAATGTACTGAAACTTTTCTTTTTTTGGTACTGGGGATCAAACTTGGGCCCTTGTGCTTGTGAGGCAAGCAGGAGGAACCACTGAGCTAAATCCCTGGCTCTACTGAAACTTTTCTTTCACCTTCAAGGCACAGCCTTTATTTTTGTCGGAAGTTTCTAATTCTTCCAGCCTAATACTGCACTATTAAAATCAGTAAAAACTTGTCTGGTCTTTTGATATTCAGCAACCTCAAAGACAGAGATCTGCTTTAGCTGTCCATGTGTCTTAAAAGTTTGGCACAGGACCAGGCGTGAACAGGTGTTTAAAAACATAGAGGAGGCTGACAAGAGAAAGTAAGAATGACAGAGAAATCATTGCTGAGTGATTTATTTTACTCTTACGACTACATTAGCAAGTGGAATGGAAGACGCCTCCCACCCTGACCCCTTGTGCAACCAAGGCATTATACTCCTTCACTGCCTGCTCTGTCTGGAGGACCCGCACGTCAATGCCTTGTTTCTTGATGTACTCCACAGTGGATGGAGGCACCTAGGAAGGAGGAAAAGGGAGGAGTAATTAGGGGAAAGGCCCCCAGAGCTTCCTTCCCTGCCATAAGGGAGAACACTGTACAGAAGTAGACAGTAACGTCTGTCACTCCTTGATCACCCAGTGTGTCAGTAGTCCAAAGTTTGGCAGTGAGCTCCAATGAGTCCAAGAGGCCAATAAGGTTTTAGAGATGTAGTTCAGGGTAGAGTGTGTGTTAGCATGCTTGAGGCCCTGAGTTTAATCCCTAGCACCAGAAAAGAAAAAGGCGCTTTGAAAAGGTGACAGAAGAATAATAAATACCCATGCAAAAAGCTCAAGTGAAGTAAAAACAGGAAAAGCGTGGATTTTGGAATAAGTCTTGGATTTAAGTCCTTACTAGCAGTGTGATCTTGGGTGACTGGATTATTAGGCTTTCCTTGCCATATCTATAAATTAGGGAGAATAGTACTTAGTTCTAGCATTGGAATAAAAATGAACTAAGTGATGGTATGGAAAATGTCTAGCATGCTGCAGAACCCAAACTATATATAGTTTAAAAGTGAGTTGGTTTAACCTGTGTTTAAATTTTAACTTTGCCACTTACCAACTGACAGATCTTTGACTAAAGTGTCTCAGTTTTAATTTCTTCACTTGTAGAGACAACAATGCTTATATCACAGGGTTGGTGTGAGGATGGAGTTAGTGTATCTATATCATAGCTCAGAAAGGCCTTTCTTGACCAACCATGAGGAGTCCCTCCTAAGTCACCTTTTTGTTCACAGTATTTATTCTGTGAAATTGTCTAGTTCTTTATTATCTATGAGGAACATGAAACTTGTTTGTTATTGTCTTTAGTGCCTACAATAGTGTCTGACCTATAGAAAATTCTTATAAATTTATAAATTAATTTATATAGAAGATATTTTCAATACTGACAGCTGTTATTAGATGATATAATCTCAACTCTGGCTTGCCCTGAATTTTTTTGTAGAAATAGAGTTCAATCAGATTGTGCCACCTAAGAAAGAGCTGGATGAAATATTTTTAGTATATGTGCTGCTGAAGTGAGCACAAATAAAATATTTTAATATGCCATGTTATTTTTCTGTATGTATAAAATATTTGTAAAAGAAGCCTTATATACAGAAATTATAATACTACAAAAAACTAGTTTAAATATAAAAATGTAAAATAAAAGCCTCTATCAGTCTGGAACAAGATGATAGGACATGTATGTAAAGGGAAGACTGAGGTAGATGTCACTATACTCACATAGAAGGCTGTCTATGATACAATGTGTTGGAGTTACAGAACGTACACAGCGTGATTCTTTTATACGATAGTTCTAAGTATACATATGAGGATCTGTATGTATAAGTATGTATACATTTACAGGTACAGAGAGCACTGGAAGGCTTTACACCGTATGTAGAGATCAGAAAGAGGATACCTTTCACCTTTTAAAATCTACATCTGCATTAAATCTTTTGTTTTATTAGTGCATGTTGTAATACAGAATGAATACATTCGTTGTGGGTAGTTGGTACATGTACATGACCTATATAAATTCTTTTTACATCCCCTTCCCCTCCCCTTTCCCATCATCTTAGTCCCCTTCCCATTTGCCAAAGCCTTATCTCCCTACCCTATTTCCTATTTCTGTATGAAATCTTGAAATTGTTTTATAATGAAGATGTTTTCTTTCTTTTTTTTAAAATGTGGTGTCAGGGATTGAACTCAGGACCTTGTGCTTGTGAGGCAGGCATGGTGCCACTGAGCTAAATCCCCAACCTGAACATGTTTTTTTATTAGTACACATTTGCAGTATATAATGTTTACATTCCTTGTGTGCAGATGGCACATGCACACAGCACATCTTACTTCCTTTGTTTGTTCCCTTCTACCTCTTGATCCCCTTCCCCTTTGAGAACAGTCCATCTCCCTACTTCCTATCCTATTAGCTATCTTTATTTTGGTGCTTATAATTTAGATTTTCATCCATGTGATATTTAAGCTTCTGTGTCTGATTTATTTCACTTAACATGGTCCCAAAGTGCATCCATTTTCCTACAAATGACTCAAGCTTATCTTTCTTTTTATGGCAGAGTAGTACTCCATTGTGTGTAAATACCACATTTTTTATCCACTCATCTGCTGATGGACACAGAGGCTGCTTCCAAGCTTTGGCGACTATGAACTACTGCTATAGATGTGGGTATCCATATATCACTGTAATAAGATGCCTTTAACCTTTTGGAAGGATCCCTAGGAGGGAATAACTAGGTCAAATGGAATATATATTATTTCTGTAAGTGAAATTAAAAATCAGTGTTTCTTTTCCCGAAAGAGGAAAAAAGCCTAACTTGAATGTGTCCAAGAAAAAAAAAGTACAATAAATGTGCTATAAAGATGTAAAACAGTATTAAAATGTAAAGGGTCAAATATAGTCATGCACCTCATAATGGATTTTCAGTCAGTAACTGCATGTACAAGGGATTTCTTACCAGGTGATATTTTGTAGCCATCTTGGTGTAAGTACATGCTGTTGTGGTGTAAGCACAGTGATAAAGACACCTAACGACATTCCGCTCAGGATGTGTCTCTAATCTTAAGCAACATGACTGCACTGATCATTGCAGAATTTGAAGACTTCTGGGGTTGAGGTATTTCTAAGAACCAGTTGAAACTATATGGTCTCAGGTTTAGGTAGACTTAGCCCAATCCTGATAGAG